AGTGCTGACCACATAGTAAGTACTCACAGTTTTTTAAACGAATGTGTATAGGTGAATAAACAGAAGAACTAGTAGTGAGAGCATTCTGAGTGCTGGCTTATTTTGGGAAAATATTACCAAAGAGGCTTGTGGTCAGTATGTTTGTGAAGGCACAGCTGTCAGTGTAGGCTGGGAAGCTCCTGAACTCTTGCCCCAGGGCAGCAAGGATGTCTGTGAATTCTGGATACTGGTCTTTCTAAGGTCCTACTGGTCCTTCCAGCAGTTGAAGCACAGTGGTCTCAATTATCAGAACAATGAGTCTAAGCTGAGCTCCAGCAAAGTCTAAACTGAGAAAACTGATCGCTTGTGTCCCTAGTGAAGGATGAACCCATTGCAGAAGAAGTATGAGCTTAGGATTCTTGAAGCAACCTGAGAGTGGGGAACCCAGGACCTCAGGACACCTTGGCTCCTTGATGAGAAGTCTCAACGATGGATACTTTTGGTAGAAGAATGTGGAGTGGCCCCAAGAAGGCTTCCAGACTTTGCTCTTTTGATGGCTATGTTAAGAGCAGATTCATGATAAAATCTCATTTTGAGCTCACTTACCTGAACCTGAGCATTCCAGAAGGTGCTATGAAAAGGCCCCTTTGCCTATTTTTTCATTTTTCATTTCTATCCCTGAGATGTCAAAGGATTGAAGGGTTCATGAAGATTTTATGCAACTTGGCTTGTGTTGATCTGGGAAATCAGGCTGTGTCTTTGCTCTGCAGAGAGCCTTTTGAGGACAGGCTGTATGTGTTCTTTACTGCTGCATATTGAGGATCTCAATGGGCCTGCCACTGGATGCTAACCTACAGATGAAAGACAGAATTTCTGTATGCTTAGAACAATATCAAGTTAGATTGTGGTACCTCAAATTTTAGAAAACAGGCCTTTGTGCTGCTCAGAGGTGCACAAAACAAGTTCTCCCTGCCTTCTCCACAGAGGTACTGAGTGGAAAGAGGGCAGCTTTAGGATCAGGCAGATGTGACTTCAACCCCAGCACTAGTTAAATGCCCTTGAGGAATGGCTACATTACCTGGAAGAAGTTACTTAACCTCTCTGAGTTTTCTATTCTGTTACATGGGAATAAAAATGGTACCCATGAAAATTAACTGAGAAAGACTATACCAACATTTTGGCTCAGAACCTAGTACCTAATATGTGTTCAATTATTGGGAGTTATTGGTATGAATTTGGTGTTTTCTGTTTTCATACAGACAAACAGAATACGGGGCTGAGTTCTCCAGAGCAGAGTAGAACTGGGTCCAATAAACTTAGGTCCAATAAACTGGGTCCACAGCAGTCCCCAGGCCAGAATTTACTGGTCTAGATTGATTGGGGAAAGGTGAATTGGTGGGTGAAGGAATGAATGTTAAAGAGGAAACAATTATCAACATGGAAGGAAGACCACAGATGGAAGGACAGGAGCATGTATCTCAACATAGAAGGGGACGTATTGTATTCTGTGTGGAGGAAAACAAATAAAGACCAACACAGAGAAATAATGAACTCTTCAAAAATAGAAAAATGACCTGAGTTCTGTCCTGAAATGGCTATCACACACATAAAGACCTCAAAAGAAACAAAAAAAAAGTAACATTTAAGACAGTGTCCCCTGGCACCTCAGTGATAGAATGATGACCCCTCAATGGTTTTGAAATATGTGTGTAGGCGAGAGAGTAATTTGGCAGAAAGGGCAACAGTTAATCTGAAAGGGGAAATTTGAGGTTAGAAGAACATGAAGGATCACTGATGATGAATGCAGAGGAAAGAACAAGATTTAATAATGAACCAGGTAGACAGAGCCAACATTAATTACCAATGAGTACACAAAAAAGCCCACTGGGCCAAACGTTTTGTGTATCATTACACTGACTGTCACAACCACCTACAAGGGGAGCCCTTTTGGTAGACCCACTTAGCAGAGCAAGTCAAGGCTTATACCACCGTGACAGCTGGGTGGCGGAGAACTGGGCTCTGAACCTGGGCTCCCTGAGACAAGGCACGAGCCTTATGCCTAGTTACTCAGCTAAGATGCCCAAGGGACAGAGGGAAAATGAAGGACAGGAGGGAAAAAAACAACTTCAATGTTAAAGCCTCTTAGAAGGAAACTCAGACATAGTAAAGAATAAAAAGAAGAAAATATCCATAAAGGAGTAGGGAAATCAATAAGTATTGATCACCTGGTATGATTCAGATGCACGTATGTAATCTCCTTTAATCACAAGAACCCCGAGAAGTAGATATGATTTCCGTTTACACAGATGAGGAGATACGAGTTCAAAGAAGTCACCGTTAATCACAACCTTGTAAATACCAGAGCCAGGATTAGAACCGCCGCCTGCAGCATTAGAAAGCCCACAGTATTTCCATTTGCACAGCTGCCTTGGGAAAGGAAATGCTCTGACTGGGTGTGAGAGAGCAGAAATGGCATCTCCTTCGAATGGTAGGGTCAAAATGCAAATAAAGCATGACTAGAAAGACAAAAAAGGGAAATGAGAAAGGGAGGACCGCAGAATGATAATGAGGCCCACACCACCTGTTTTTCCTTTGGCCAAAGAGGTCCCTTGTCAAGGGTCTGAGTGAAAAACAAAGTGACCAAGTGGAACAGAAAGGCCAACAGAGACCCTCGTGTGGGTCACAACATGGAGCACTCTCCGAGGGTGAGGCATGTGGGAGAGCCTTGGGAGAAACTCCAAAGGGCAATAAGAAAGACCCCAGACCGCTGGTGCGCTGCTGACTACAACAGAAGTTTCACAGAAAACAAGTTTTTAAAAAGATACGCTACGGAGAGGCGCTCAGGTGGACACACTTTCTCAAGACGGTTGGCAGGAAGTACGGTTACTATGCAGGACTCAACATCGCTGGGTATGAAAAACAGCCCTGCGCAGCTTGGAGGGTGAATTTTATTATCGCCACTTTGCATGGGAGGAAACTGTGGCCTGTAGAGTTGGAGAACTTGCCTGGGGTCCCCAAGTTTTAGAATCCAGGTGTCTGACTCTAAGTCTTGCATGCTTCGTAGTGCTCCCTCTTCTTTTTAAATGAAATACACTCCCAGTGGCAAATTTAGGGTATCTCACAGTGGGAGACAAATTTTGGAGAAAGGTTCCTTACCGTCTTTTAGGGAGGTAGCTCTTTTTAAGCATTCTGGTTTGTAATAAAAGCAGCTCTACTGTCTAGATGAAAACGCCATTCAGCTCAGCCTTGTTAGTGCTGTCTTGGATGACTGGAGTGGTTTCTGAGGCAGATTCATACCGAACTTTAACCATATGTTGTCTAATAATTAACAAAGGTGCTTCCTGACTTCACCAAGTGATTGCAGAGTTTTACTTCAAGTCCTTTTGTTTAGCTGTCCAGGATACGATGATCGGTGGAAGGCAATTCTCTGATGGCAGGCTCAGGATCATTCATAAAATAAACTGATTGCTGGGAAATATATTCTCACTCCCAGACTCTGGAGTCTGTTTCACACTTAAGAACTTCTGAGTAAAATGGAGCAAGTTTGGCTCACTCTGAATCATCATCATGCCCACAAAAATTCACAATGGATACACTCACTAGAATCAGTGACACACTGACACTCTGGAACTGCTCAGGTGACTAATTTTGCTGCTTCCTTTAAGAAAATCTGGGAGAATACCCCTACGCATCTGGATTCTTGTATTAGGATGAGTAGAAGATAGTAGAACTCATGGTCAAGGTGACTTTGAAGTCACCATAGAATGTCTCTGTGCTTTTCATGGCCATATTGTATAGCTCTGCTTTATTCCGCTGGGTTAAGATAAAAATATCCCAATTATTGAGAAGATTTAAGTGGCTTAGAGGCAGCATGGCAATCTCAAACCATAGAACGAAAATCAATGCCTTGACCAGTATCCAGGCTTTTCCTGGAGATATCAGCTATTCCCTGAGTCCACATGGGCAATGTGTTCCTTTTTCCTATTTTCATATATTTTATTCAGGATTTAAAGTATTTTCTATCAGAAAAAGAAAAACCCTCACAGAGCCAATTATCTACTTTCTAATCTGTGGTAAAGTCATCTTGAAAAAGGCAACTGCTTTGTCTTTTTTCTTTGCTTAATAGCTTAAATCCAAAGCAACTAGGGATGGCGACTGGGCTTTGTCTTAGCAGCCATGAAACATGCTTATTCTAATATAAGATATTAAAACCATACATAGGATGCTAATCAGCATAACTCAGTTTTCTTCCCTATTCAGAATTGCTGTCACCTTGGTCCCTTTATTACCGCTACAGCTCTGCTCCTGGTCACACTAGAATGTGAAACGTTAGTTCTGTGCATCTTTCAGCAATTCCTCCCTCCAGTGGATCACCTTTCTTAGCCTCTCTTCCTTCCATCCCCACTTCCTTCCTCTCCTTTCTTTTTAAAATGCTTCCACACCTGTAAGGCCTTCTTTCGTGATTCTCCTTCCCATGATTTGCCCATGTAAGAGCCGACTCGGCCCAAGCTCTGTAACAGACACATGACCTCTGGCCACAACTGACGTCCCCTCATATGGCCCAGTTATGATCCATGATCAGGAAGCCCCAGGCTCGGAGGGACAGGGGCTCCCAACCACCCACATCTCAGGGTCTGAAGGAAGTCAAACCAGACTACAGCAGGTCTCTTTATAACCAGAAGAGCCTGAAGGGCCCCAGCTGGGGTGCTGAACGTGGGCTATTGCACAAACACAGTTCCGGCAGCTGGCTACTGACTTTTGGGGTATAGGATGCTCCAGTTTTCCCACTGTTTACTGTGGCCTCTTTGGAAGCAGGTGTCGTCAGCGAGCACTGTTGCAAGATTTGGGGGAGGGACACTGATTATCCTGTCTGATCAGGAGAATCCATTATGTCGTTGAGCTTAAAGGCCCAGGGGAATGTATCTGGGGTCAGGAGAGCAATCACTGTAAGCGACCAGCAAGGACAGCCTGTCAGGAACCTCTGCTAAATTGCCTATAATTATGACTCTGTCCCATGGCAGGAACCTGGCTCCACTCAGTTCCGTCCACACTGGATGGGGGACAGAAGTGTGGCCACCTGGAACGCACAGCCAGGCCATGGGATGCGACTAGATGATGGAGCCTGGAGGCCTCACGCTGCTGGGACACGCCCTGGGGCGGGAAGGGGTCTTCAAAGGTGAGAGGCCCCAAGACTAACTCTGTCCAATGAACCGATGTGGTCACTAAGCAGGAGTTTCAGTGATACTGTAGAAACATGCGGTGGTAAAAATGGCTCAACAGAGACAGAGAGGGCAGAAGCCTAGGCAACGTACCAGGGTAAATATCAGCCACCGGAGGATTGTCAAGTGTCCCTGGTGTTGTGTGTACTCAGGTAGGGTCCATGGGCAGGTGGCCCTGTGGAGGGGAATTCCCAGCTGAGCCATCCTGAGATCTTTCTGGATGGTGACAGTAGCTGTTCCAGGGTAGCTCGTTTCCAATGTAGGATCCACTCTGCACCCATTCCTGAGCATGGTCATGTTTACAAATACAGAGAGGGCTGGTGTGTGGATGCAGATACGTACTTTATCCTTGAACAGTTTTCTCCAGAGGACAGAACCCCAAAGGGTGGTAGGATTTAAGAGGTAGACGCTGTCTTGATGAACAAACAAACAAACCAGAATGTACCTCTGAAAGGGTCTGGGCCATAAAAGAGGTCAGTTGTGCATCATCCCTTGATGAGGGTTTGTAGATGATTTTGCAGATCTGGGATTTTGCAGAACCTTTTCCCTGTAACACTAAGGGTGAGACTGGGAAACCTTGATATAGAGGCCTGGGTACAGCAGGGATGGGAAGCTGTACCTGCATGTTTCCCTGATGGATCAGGCACTGCAATGATAGTTTGGGCTGCAGGGAGGACAGGGAGTTCCATTTCAAGAGAAGCTGACTGCATAGGACATGTCTTGGACTGTCCATAATATTCAATATCTGATCAAGAGAAAGAAAATGAAAAAATACTCCTAGGTACAAAAATTGACACTTGTTTTATATCCCCCCCATTTACCCCTGCCCCCACCCCCGTGATCTTTTACTTTCAAATGAACTTCCAATTTATTTTTAAGGTCAATTTACCTTTTTTTTTTTGGCAGGCCCAAGTAATCACTGTAATCTTGACACAAAAATAACATTGGTGTATTAGATGGCAAGAGAAATCACTCCACTATTCTACAGGAACTGTCAGCACAAACTACCTGGACATCAAGTCCTACCAGTCACTTCAAGAAATTATGCAAGCTTCAGCATTCAATCCAGACAATCTGCACATGCAATGGTTTATTTGCTTCCCTGATGAAAAAGGGAGTGTGTGAATTTTTCCTTTGTCGGTAAAACTTATCTAGGGTATGTTTGAGTCACTTTTCTTCCCTATTCAGAATTGCTGTCACCTTGGTCTTCCTTATTTATTACCTCTACAGCTCTGCTCCGGTCAGAGTCACTCTCACTTCTCACCTGATTGCAAGAGCCCAAGGAAGATCTCCTCCTCCTCAGCATGTTCCTAACACAGCAATCTGAGCACCTTCAAGTCAAGGTTGTATCCTGCTTCTCTTCTGCTTCAACCCTAGCAGCGCTCCCCTTTCGCTGACAATAAAATCCAAAGTATTGACTGACATCTACACAGCACTCCACAACATGTTTCCACCCCTCGCTCCTTTAAATGCGCCTTGGTTTGTCCACTGTCACCGAATTCCAGCCGTAGGGCCTCTCTGCTGTTCTTTGAGCACACTGAGTGACTTGGTGCTTGAGGGCCTTGGCTTCAGCTCTTCTTTATACCTGAAGCGGTCTTCTCAGTGCACTTCTGGGCTCACTGCACCCTTCATTCAATCCCATTCCAGTCTTTGTCCTCAGGGAGGTCTGCCTGGACCATTCTAACTCTGCATCTTGGCACTGACCCCTACACACTTGGTCCCTCTGACCCTGCTCTAATATTTTCTTTCTCATCACTTATCTCATAGTATACTTTGTGATTTACTTATTACCTTTGTCACTTGTCAGTAGCCTCTCTCTCATTGAATATGAACTATCCAATGTCAGGGATCTCTGTTGTCAGTGCCTTGAACAGTACCTGACGCATGGCAGGCTCCCAGCCCATATTGTTGGATGCATGAGTGAACAGTGAATGTTTTTGATATTGTATTCCCTTATGCGCATCCATTGTGTGACATACCATTGGCCAGTCCTTTCAGTTACCTCCGTTGTACTTTGGGTACAGCTATCTCATTTGATCATTTTGTATGTAAATGATATCAAGAGCTCCTCTTTTGGTTTGGATTTGAAAAAAAAATCATCACTATATTCACCCTTGTAGTGATGCTCTTTGCTTTTTGTAATGTATGCAGCTGAATAGGGCTTCAAGGAAATCTTCCAGCCAGATCTTGCTTTTAGCCCGGGAAGGTGCCAGCTTACCAGTGTGTTTCTATTTTATCCTGTATCTAACATGGTGCAAGTTCCTCCTGCTGTTAGACTTGTGGCTCTCTTGCTTTAACTTAAGGTTTAACTGAGCTTTTTCATTCTCTGTAGATATGGATACTAGTAACTAGATGCTTCTCTCCTACAAATCCTTTGTGTAGCTGAGGATAGTAAAGCTAACCTTCAGCATTTCTAGTCTACAGATGAAACTGCCCCAATATCATAAATTTTCTCCAGTAGACATAATTTTTTTTGGTAAAACATATTATTTTAGTCAATAAATACCAAAAGGTAGCACAGATATGTGTCACAACCACTTGATGGATGCAAAAATTCACTAAACCTCCAATTGAAGATGGTGAGCAATGGTTGCTTTTATGAAGAAATCATAGTATAATTTGGTTTAATGTTCTGCTTGGCTAAAACAGCAAACTGTTCATGAGAGAAGGAGAAATTCCATTAAGATAGAACTTCAAATGATCTGAAAGCTTAAAAAGATAAGTTCATATGTAGCCTGAAAAAATAGATATACAGAATAACACCCAAAAGAAGCTGATAAATTGGTAAGAGGATGTTTATCTAGAGAGGGTAGAAGAAGAAGATTATGTAGAATCAAACATTGTGTGCTTCAAGGCGTGTGTGTGTGTGTGTGTGTGTGTGTGTGTGTGTGTGTGTGTGTCTGTCTGTCTGGTGTCTGCTATCCAAGGGAACAAGAAAGTCCAGGTCTTGGGACCTTGGAATTTTGCATGCAAATTAGGTTGCAGTATCACAGCATGAAGAAACTGAAAGTGGTCTTGTCTTGAGAGGGAACAGGCTTAGACCTGAATGGACTGAGAGTTAAGGGGCAGTGGTGCTAGAGTGTGGGTCAGAAAGTCTTGGTTCCCAGAGAGGTGGTATGAGGAGGTGTTGGAACCTTGGATAGGTGAGTCCTTGAGGAAGACTCTTGATCATTGGGGATGTGACCTTGAAGGGGATTGTGAGAACCCCAGTCCCCTCCTTTTTCTCTCTCTTTTGCTGCATAGCCATGTGATGAGCTTTTGCTCCATCACACAATTTTGTCATGAAGTCTCACCACAGACTCAACATTGGGGCCAACAAATCAAGAGTTGGAGTCACCAAAACTGTGGGCCAGAACAAACTATTTCTCTGTGTAAGCTGATTTTCTCAGATATTTTGATACAGTGATGGAAAGTTGGCTGACATAGATATGGAGTTAGACCCCGAAGGCAATTAATACCTTTCCTATAATAAATTATAATTAATTATTAAGATAATTTGAAAAATCTTCGAAGTCCTTAGAAATAGAATAGGGAGAATTGGGTGGATACCTAGCATAAGAATAAGTGAGAAAAAGCTTTCCATTTATCTTAGTTAATTTGTGTTAGTGTAATAGAAAACTGGAGACCAGGTAATTTATAAAGCACAGAAATTCATTTCTCACAGTTTTGGGGACTGAGGAGTCCAAAATCAAGACCCTGACATATGGCGGAGTCTCCTTGCTGTACCCTCACATGCTAGGGACAGAAAGGCAACACAAGTGGAGAAGTAAGCCAGCTAGCTAAAAGAATGCTGCAGGGAGCCTCTTGTAAAAGGGCCTTACTCGCATTAATGGTGGCGCAGTCTTTGTGGCCTATTCACCTCCTAAAAGCCACTCCCTACTATCATATTAGCAATACCTGAATTTTGGATGCTGCTTTTTCTTTGGGAACAAAAGCACTCAAACTATAGCGCTATTTATAGTGGTAAAGTTTGAAAATCAGTGGGAACCTCTGTTACCTAGAGGTTTAGAGTTCTTTAAATATAGATCCATTTCACATATTTTACATTGATGAATCAACAACACTGTGCCTTATACCCAACAGTACAAGTATCATTGAACCAAATATTATTGAACACTTAGACTATCAGTGTGAACAAAAACAGACCCTGTTTCAAAAAAATGAAGCTTAATGCTTCATTTTTAAAAAATATTTAAAATATTTAAAAAGTATTTTTATTTTAAAAAACTAATTTTTTTGGAAAAATGGTGAACTTCTCATTGGAATACGAACAGGAGGTGTACTTTCTTCAAACCTTAAAATTAAGAAATAATTTAGAAAATCTCTAGCAGATGGTATTAAGCTACCCGCAAATCTTGAGTTTAAAATTCCATCTATTGGGATCTAGAAAAAGGATTTTCTTCTTTGGAAGGAATTCACTGCCTTCCTTGGTCTGACAGGAGTCTGTAGTCTTCAGAGTGGCTAGTAAACCTATCCTCCCTGGATTCTGAGACTAGAAACGTAAAGCTGATATCTGAATGCACCATGCCACTGCTTTGTTATATGTGTCCTAATTAAATATTTTTGATTTTTGTACTTATGGCCTGAAGCAATTTAATCATCCAGGACACAGTTTAATAAATTGGAAAAAACGAGTGGGACTAATTGCCATTGTGCTTCATACAGTGGCATGCAACCAGGAGATGTTTAATAAATATTAATTTATGATCCCAACAGCCCTAGAGGCAGGGAACATGGAATTTCAAGTTAGTTTTCCTATTCTCTGAGTCACGATAGGTTCAGAGAAAAGGCACTTTTATACTTCAGTTTTGCAATCTACAAAAGGAAATAGTTCTTGGTCGTCATTATCAACCTAGGATACAGAAAAAAATGTAGATGGATTAACTTAATAATTGTCTTTGTGTTTGAAGGTGGCAGCTGGCCAGGTGTTCTCAGGCACAAATGAAGAATTTAGAATGAAACGCGTTGGACTGGAAATGCTCAGAGTAGGTGATGAAATCCAGGAAAGCCCCTTCTGGATAGCTTTGAACTGCGGCTTTTGTTCCTTCAGATGGACTCAGCAGAGGGGGACCCAATGACCTCTCCTACAGACTAGTCGTTCTTGTCATGGATTTTAAAGAACATGGCTACTGGTCAAAGGTGATGAAGTGAAAGGGTAATTCTTTTGCCTACTCCCTTAATCATTTTCTGGTCTAGTGATAAAAAAATGAAACAAAACAAAAAAAAACCAACTATTTAAATGCCCAAACTGAGAAACTAACAACCAAAAAACAGGGTTGGAGGACACCATCAACATTCTCAGCAAGGAACTCACTGACTGTATATCAAGAGCCACAGATAGCTCATAACCTTTGACTCAGTGATCTTTAGACTCCTAGACTCTGAAGCAAGGCCCAGCACTCTACAGGCCTTAGGCTTGCTGCTTAATTTTGTACATCTTGTGCACTAAGGATGGCTTTTACATTCTTCAGTGGTTGAAACAAAATGTAAAAAACAATAGCATTTCATGACACATTGAAAACTAAATAAATTCAAATTTCACTGCACATACATAAGTGTTTTTGAATTTAGGTAAATCATATGTCCTCCAAAGCCAAAGACATTTAGTAGCTGTCCCTTTATAGGAAAAGGTTGCTGACCCTTGATCTATCCATAAGAAGTAGTCCCCAAAATGGAGAAGAAATGATATGGAGGAAGCTTATGCTGTGTGATTTACAATAGAAAAATTAGAAAAATGTGATTGTTCCCTCGGGGATATAGATATTAAGTAGACTGTGGTACATCCACTCAATGGAACTTTTAAAAACCACTACAATTGAAGGTGTTGATTATCTCATATTGAAAAATAAAATGGCTGTGTTAATAAAGGTAGAAAACGTAAAAGCCGAAACTTGGGTAACTAAGTGATTACGGCCTTTAGTTAGCCAAGTCCTTCATTATCCAACAGTTATCCGGTTATCCAGTTTCAATGGAAACTAGGTTATTAAGGCACATAACTTACATGTGAGAGAAAACGACTTAAAAAGTATTCATAGTAACTGGGTAGCAGTGATCAATTTTGTTGATTTTTTTCCTCATCTCTATTTTTATTTTTTCCCTGTAAAAATGTTCATGTTACATATTAAAAGCCTTAATGAAAAGATGGGAAAAAAATATTAGTGGCTATGAAAGGACAGCAGAAAGCTCTCTTCAAGACAGAGACTGCTTGGCAGGGCTTAGCAGGGAGTCCCTGACATCAGGGACAGTAGCTCGTTCTGCTCCAGCAATTTCTGTCTTTATCTTCTTCACTGTGGATCTTTTCAGAAAACAGAAGAGTGGGCTGCTTTTCAAAACCATCTGTTTCCTTTCCCCACCAACCCAGAGAGCCAGCAGGCATGAAAGACTTTCCCTTCATTTAATAAATATAAATGAATTTATTTACCAACAACTGTATCATCTGAGAAACAGCAGCTCTCTCTTGAAGAAATTGAAATGGTCCTTCATGATAATGCAGGAACCCACATGTGAACCCACACGTTCAAGTGGAATTTTTCTGAAGTAAGTTGGTTGTAGAACCAGGATACAGAACACCCTGCATCCCACCCCCCAAGTCAGGAAAATGCCATCCACTATGCTACATTGCAGTCTTTAAAATAAAAGGGTCATAATCCAGAAATGGGCATGTGAGATGAATACACACTTCTCAGATGAAGAAATACAAATGGCAAATAAATTATATGAAAAAATGTTCAACTTTATTGGTCATTCGAGAAAGGCAAATTAAAACACTGAGATTACATCTCACCTCAGAAAGAATGGCTATCATCAAGAAGTCAACCAATAACAAATGCTAGAGGGGCTGCAGGGAAAAAGGAACCCTTCTCCACTGCTGGTAGGAGTGTAGACTGGTGCAACCACTGTGGAAATCAGTGTGAAGATTCCTCAAAACAGTAAGATTAGAGGTCCCATTCGACCCAGCTATTCCCTGTCTGGGTATTTTTCCAGAAGAATTGAAAACATCATACCACAGCGATATATGTGCACCCATGCCTATAGCAGCACAATTTGTCGTAGCTAAATCTTGGAAACAACCCAAATGGCCCATCAATTTAGGAATGGATAAAAAAGATATGATATTTTTATACAATGGAGTATTGCTCAGCTATAAAGAAAGATAAACTCAAGCCCTTTGTAGGTAAATGGATGCAACTAGAGACCATACTCATAAGTGAAATAAATCAGACCTACATGTATAAACATTGTATCATCTCCCTAGTGTAAGAAACTGAAAGAGTAAATAAAATCTGGAAGATACAATAGAGATTGTGAAAGGAATAGAAACTGCTGAAAAGGAGAGAACAACTGGGATGAGGGAAAAGAGAAAGAAAGAAAGAAGGAAGGGAAAAATATATAAATATACACAAGACAGTTAAGATAATTGTACTACTAATTTCTATTGGTTAACTGAAAAGAATAGTTAATGCTTAATTTTTGATCAATTTTGCCTGTCTATGTCTGATAATCCAAACAACTACTTTGAAAATAATATGCAATACAACAACCATTGCTTCCTATCATCTTATTTTGAAATTCTGTGTTTTTAATGTTTTTTTATTCTCTATAAAGTAAAAAATAAATAAAATAAAAGAATCACTCAACATCACTTTGGACGTTTCAAGATATATAAGAATGATATTAATAGCAAGGAAATCATTTGTAAGGTTAACTATGCCTGGCATGAGACACCAACAGCAAGGGCACTACGACTTTGTTATGCACATAATAAGGCATCCATAGAAAGATGGAGACAAGAAGTTTCAACAATACTAGGATGATCCAGTGATTCTCCTCCAATCTCCAGGCTGTCAGAGCAGCAATGACCCAATGAGGGTGGGAGCATGATTATTGCCCTACATGAATGCAATAACACTGGCTTTAGAGACAGAGCCTTCTCTTTATTTTTGGCTACAGTTCTTAGGCTATCCAGACACATCTATATGGGCATTGGAAAACAATTAAATCCGGTAAGTACACATTGAACATCAACAATACTGAGGTTAAGAAAGAACTGAAATCACCTGTAGGATAGGGTTGTGTAAAGGGCGTGAGGCATTGTGCTACCATGGCTGTGACTCAGCAGGACATGGTGACAATAGAAAAAAGGGTAAGTGGAGGACCTCATACCTGTCTCAAAGGAAGAATGTTAGAGATTCAGTGACTGGTTAGATAAAGGTCATTATAGAGAAACTTCCCTGAGGCTTAAGTTTGTGCTGCAGACATGCTATGATAGCTAGCACAGAACCTATCATGTCTGAGGCAAAGTGCTTTGAGTTAAATGTATTTCAAGATGATTGCCATCCTTGGAGAAAGGTGGTATTATCAACAAGACTAAAAGATGAAGAAAGCAAGCTAGTTGTTTTTAGAGAAAAATTATGGGCTTGGTTTCTTTTCAATAATTTCTGATAATAAGGGGCCATCTACCTTCCAATATTTGTTTAGTTTGTTGATTGGAATTTTAGAAGAATGTTTGAAAAACATTCCTATATTCAGCAAGCATTTCTTTAGTTTGGAAGTTCTCAAAGAATCAATTCTATTTATTCTCTTTTTTATTTTAAAAAGAAAAAAATCAAAATTTCAAAACAAGATAATAGGAGGATAATGGTTAATATATTGCGTATTGTTATCTTTAAACTACTTACTCAGGAGTGCATTTAATTGTCCAAACAATATTAGCACAAGCCTTTCTTTTCAATGAACTAAGAGATATTAGTAGTATAACTAACTTGCATTTTTTTCCCTTTTCTCTTTCCTTCATTTCCTCTTTCCCCATTCTAGTTCCTTTTTCCTTTTTGACAATTTCTTCCCATTTCACAATATCTATTGTACATTTGAGATCTTATTTACTCTTTCAGCTTCTCACACTAGAGAGACAATACAATGTTTACACATATGAATCTGGTTTATTTCACTTATGAGTATGGTCTTGAGTTGAATCCACTTACCTATAAAAGTCTCCAACTTATCCTTCTTTATGGTTGAGTAGTACTCCATTATATAAAAAAGACCACATCTTTGTTATCCATTCCTCAGTTGATGGGTATTTGGGACGGTTCCAAGATTTAACCATTACAAATTGTGCTGCTATAAACATGTGTACATACACATCGCTGTGGTATAATGTTTTTCATTCTCCTGGGAAGATACTGAGAAGAGGTGTAGCTGGGTCAAATGGGATCTCCAATCCTAATCTTTTGAAGAATCTCCACACTGATTTCCACAGTAGTTGTACCAGTCTACACTCCCACCAACAGTGGAGAAGGGTTCCTTTTTTCCCCACAGCCCATCCAGCATTTGTTATTGGTAGATTTCTTGATAATTGCCATTCTTTCTGGGGTGAGACAGAATCTTAGTGTTGTTTTAATTTGCATCTCTTGAATGACCAGTGATGTTGAGCTTTTTTTATGTATCTTTATTTGCTGTTTGTATTTCTTCATCTGAAAAGTGTGTATTTATCTCAGATGCCCATTTTTGGACTAGATCTTTAAATGTGGGAGTCTGATTTTTCTGATTTCTGAAAGAATCAATTCTGCCTTCTACTAATAATTTTTTTCCCTTTTTTGCACTGTCTTTGCTGTATTCTTTCAAAGGCAATTGGGAGTCTCTCAGCTAATATACAAACTAATATTGTCAATGAAAATCTCCTGAATTTGAAGTAATGGCAGTAATTCACAGTGGGGGATTTTTTTAAAAATATGCTAAATAAATTTTCATTTTTATATTTTCCTTATTTTTCCATAAATACACATTTACCACAGGAGGATTTAAGAATGCTATGAAAGGAATACAAAGAACTCGGAAGGCTTAGTATCTAACCTCTGATATCAGAGTAGGTTTTCCAAGAAGAGGATAGGCACAGAAGTAATGTTTTGCCTAGAAAGGAAGAGTTCTATAAACTTCATAACATGAACATATGAAGATTATGTTGGAGAATTCAAATCACGGATTTTCTTTCAGAGTGCATAGAGAGCAGCCCTTCCTCTTAAGACAGCTAAGCTATGGGGATAGCTATGGGAGGACATTACTGGGTATGGCACAGAGGAAGGAGAAAGACTGAGGCTTGCCACTTCTGACCCTAGGGGAGGAAGACAAGAGTCCAAGGAGGTCTTTTCCTCCCATGTAAGTTGGAAACTTCAGTAAATAGGTTTTTAAAAATATCTAGATTCATAGGATGAGGTGGCCAAGTGGTTAAGGCAATGGACTGCTAAAAATGTCTAGGCTGGAATGTACAAGCTGAAGGACATTTGGACTAGTGCTTCCTTATCTGAGGGTAGCATGGGAGAGGCTGCAGCCTGTAGAAAATCTCCAGCTCATAGAAAATCTGATATAAATCCAAGATGGTTCAAGAAGACAGTATGGGGGTGGTAGCACAGTGCGGGTACAGAGATGAGCACCTGGTGCCTCCTACCACATATTTGACCTTAAAGGATCCCACAAGTCCTTGAATGCTCATTGAGGGTCTCAGGGGTGTACAGAAAGCTTGCAGAGAAAAGCAACTTCTGAATGAGGGACATTCAACCAAAAGCTGAGTCTTCTGAAGGGACATCGCAAATGAATGGACAAGACTAACATTTACCGATCAATCAAAATGTGCATCCACTGGATACCCCACACTCCCGCAATTCTCAACAATATGGGGACTCATGAGGAGTCTGAAAGTTATAGCGGAAGAGAGAAGCTGCATATTTTGGTACGTCTGACTATATCCACCATGAGTGAGCAGTCACTACTATTATACATAGTTAAAACTAAGAATTTAATGAGGACTGATGACAATAGATTACTCTTGGTTTCTCAGTGTAACTATAGATCTAAAATGAAGTGAAGCTGAGAAACTTGTCTTCAAATGTATGGCATTAATTCCAATAGCTGTAAGTAAGAACTGTCCTAAGCCATTAATAGACCATCTTCCTCCCAGGACATTAAAATAGACTTCAGAATATGGTACTATTTTAAGCGTCTTCATGTATTTACTGAGATCCAAACAAGTGGTTTGATTAGCACTATTGAAATCCTTTCAAATAACAAAGCACTATAAAATGTCTTTACAAACATCCTTGAATTGCATGCTTCTCCTCTTGTTCTTTAATTATCTATTGTCATTACTCTAATTTTCCCTGTGGTCTATGATTTGCTAATTCCAAGAAGGCTAGAGAAAATTTGCTTCAGTTCAGAATCTGATGGCTTGCATTTTGGAATTCATGGAATATATACTTTTTGAGAAAGTTCCTCTTCTAAGTTAGGTATTTTTTCATTATACGAATTTTACCTTTTGTTGTCCTCCTTACTGGTCAAACAGGGAAGATTAACAGAGCAATCGCTTTGCCCTTTCAATAACAGAAGTAGTAACAAATGTAAGTGCTTCTCTTTGTCAAGCATT